AATCACGGGAATCCCGACTATGACATATGGAATCACATTTACATTTATTAGAATTTTTTGTGCTCATAATTTTTAAGCTTTTTAATCGATATCTTTTTTTTCCTAGAAGTTTGGTTTTCCCTAGTAAATGCACTTCACCTTGAAAACGATCCAACAGGAAGTGATTGATGGCTTCCCTATTTATTATTCGTTTAATTTAGGTAATATGGATTATGGAGGCTTTTTAACTTTAAAATATGGGATTTTCATGTTATCATCGTTGCACTGTGGCATGCCTGTTGGTGGATGGTCTTCAATCTTCATGGATACTAATTTCAATTCTATTATTGAAATATTTAACCATCTGACACTTGAGCTATAATGCCTCAAATTGAGGATTCAGACAAACCACTGTCTTTATCTAAACCACATGCATATGTTTTATTAGTATATATAGTAATCATCAATTCTTCTTATAGTACTGATTCATCACATGAACTTCCCTTCTTACACAAATATTAAGTTCGATAAATCACGTCTTTACGTCGAAGTTAGGATAACATATAATTCTTTTCTCTCTACACTATTCACAACTTTTCACATGAATAGGTGTTGTCCAGACACATTTCCTAGATAATAATCTTGGCACATTTGTAAAAAGGACAAATATTAGTTAAAACTAAAAACAGAGAAATTCAAGAGCAAATTACGTCAATTTAATTACTTGTTTGATTCTTAATGTAAACAAAGCAAATTCAGCCCAGTAGTATACACTTATTGGATAAAGAATGTGATGTTGCATTGTATGACATTTGATGCTTTAATGACGTATCTCCTTTTCAAAAAGAAAGAAAAAAAACTCTCTTCAACACAATTTACCAGATGCAAGTAGTATTGAGCAAGCCTCCTCCATTATAATGGTTTTCAAAGCTGTTCATTTCGATTTTGTCAAAAAAGTGGCCTTTGGCAACTTATTATAAGTTGGCAAAAGATACATGATTACAGGCCAACTTATTTCCTCCACGCCGATGTTAATGTCAACTCGACAATATCATAGGTCCATCCACGGCCTTCTGTGAAGTCCAATAATTCCCTATAATACATTATATGAATTCTGAAATAAAATTGTATTGAAGCGTATGTAGGAAATTATGGTCCTCACTCTTCAAAAAATCATTTCTTCTAATATTATGATGTCCATAAAATAATGGCTTCAGGCTGATGGAAAGGAGAGTCGTTTAGATAGCCTACTCTATATGCAATTATGCAGTCACTCAACATTACATATCTAGGGAATGTGCTTTTGGATGGTCAGTTTCTAATATAAATACAAGCCAATATAAGTGAACTATGGGTCAAACAAAAAAAAAAGAATTGAATTCTGGTCAAAACTTGCTTTCCCTGCAGTAAAATAGATTTCAATTCATGTTACATGTTATTATCATGAAGAGGAAGAATTAGGCTATCTAGCAATAAGGAAGCCACAAAGAATAAGATAGAGAATACAAATACCTCCGAAATATACCAGAAATAATGCAAAGATTATATCATAGTTAAACAAAATATAAATCTACTGAATGATATGCAAACAATTTCATTATGCCCCATCTGGCTAGTTACATCACATTTCAAGCAATGGGAAGAATATTGCAGAATATCATCATCAAGAGAATGATTTTCTTTTCCCGATCGTAGTTTTAGTAACTTATGTTTTCAAGTTCTCCACATATACTCAAAACAAGAATGTGGTTAACATCTTCTGAACTATTCTTCATTTACGATTGTCAGTGGGTTTTAATTCTTATATATAAGTACGTCGCATTAAATTCAAATATTATCTGGGCCAGTTTATGCGCACCTCGACTAATCTCACGAGACAACCGCCTGACTATACTGGTGCTGGGAAACACATAGAAATTACTAATTCCTAAGGTAAGTGGCCATCATGGGTTTGAACTCATTCCTTCTTAATTAACCCTGACCCCACTTTGATATAATTAGTCACCCATAATGGTTAAGTTACACTAATAAATTAACGAGAGAGAAGAAAAAGAATTAGTCAAGAGAACCAAGAACTCACTTAACCACGTAAAAGCTATTTCAATTTTGACTAATGAAAAATGGCAAAACTATAAGACTACAATCAACCAATGCACAACAGGAAAGTTTAGACACGCAATGATGCAACTACTAGCAGCAGCTTAGACTTGATAAATAGAGAGTTTTTTACCCTTCCCATATTTGACTTGATCCCTCTTTTGCTTGTTATCTTTCCTCACGTTTTCTATCATAATCATGAGACTAAATAGTTGGAAGTCGAAGATGGAGCACTAGGCAAAAACTGAGGCACTAACAAGAATTGTACCAGACATTCAACCTAGAATCCAAGAAAAAGTAAATCACTCAAGGTCTTGCACCCTTAAAATTTGCTGAGCTTGACAAGATGAAAGTAATAGAGGTGACAGTTCTATACAACTGAAAATGATAATAGGCCAAATGGAAGACTGCAACATAGATTTAAAGTGCGGTAATAGAATTTTTCTTTACACAAGAATAAAACTGAGAAAGTACAGAAGAGAACTCCATGACCTCTGTGGATTAAACCACAGTTTTCATTAATTATTACTCAGTTGGTCAACTTTAGGCTTCGGCTTAAGGTACATATTAGGAAATCATCTCCGGACATTTCCCATTCATATCTCTTTAATCCCTCTTTTGGACGGAGGGTTAAAAGATGGTGCATGAGCGAAGTAAGATCATTTTTTTTTGCATCCCATCGACAATATTCTTTGGTTTTGGTACAGAGTATTTTGTCTCAAAAAATAAATTGTGCATAAGGAAGAATAACAGTTGTTAGGACCATAGAACCACAAAAAAGTGTCAAGAGACAATTAAAAAAGTACAATCTTTTAAGTGTCAACCTGGGGAACTAAAGATCAAGGTTAATATTTAACATATACTTGCAAAAGCATAAGGTAATATTCAGAACCTTAATCAATTGGATAACAAAAGACATTCACGAACTGCTAGGAAAAAGATCGTTGAAAGAAGTACTGACATTTCAACAGCATCTCTACCGTTTGCATGAAGCTCCTAGCTTCCTACATACGTTTCTAGTGATGGTAAAGCATAGTTCATTGGTGAATCCCAAAGGCTTCAGTAATATACAATCATATTATACCAGGAAAAACAAAATCATATGTTCATAAATGAAATCAATGTAAATATGATGGACAACTTTCACGAACCCAAATCTAAATTACAAGCTAAACCGGTACAAAACCTAAAACACATGCCTCACTGAAAATACGAGGAAAGAAAAACAAAACCATCTGTAAGAGCAAATACCTTTAAAGGCTTCAGTTGCACATATAGACTCCAGTCTCAAATTTGTGATCTGTCTCGTAGAAGTCCGTCTTACCCTCAGTAGCCGGCCGTAAACAAATCCCAGATAGTGATCTATAACTTTGAACTGAAAATTTCACATAACCTACCACTTCAAGTTCTTCTCCTTCATCTTCCTCGCCCCTATCCACAGGCATCCTTGCCCTCAATCGAACAGGAGAGCCCTTCAAAGGAATCTCAGGGATATGCCATTTTATTTGTTTCTCGGACCTATTCAATACAGCTTTTGGAGACACCTTTAACAATGTAGGATCAACCGGCAGTTTCAAAGTAAAAGTTACATCTTTCAAAGGTGATGGCAAATCAGGGTTCACAGCGTACTGAATCATTGCAGAAAGTAAAGTCCCACTATGACGTTGAAGGAGACGAACTCTCAAAGGCAATGGGGTTAATCTAGGTAGCAAACTATACTTGATAATTGGTATGGGTTCATTTGAAGGCGCTGTTCGCACATGAAACATTCCATTTCCAAGACTACTAACACGAGAACCCTGCATGACAAATCGTTTAACCGGAGCTGTATCCTCGACGCGAAATGAAAACTCTGTTTCTTTGTCATCAGAAGTTTTAGGTGGCAAAGTTTTCAAATATACAACCCCCGTCAATCCTACTCTTGCCAACAGCGATTCTCTGAACTCTGCACTAATCTGTTCGGTGATATACATTTCGGGACCCTTCATTTCAGTTTTAGTCACCAAGTTCTCAAGTGGCGTTCCTGTACCGCTAGCAGCAGCAGCAGCAGCTGCTTTCGTTCCATCAGCCTGTCCGGTCTGTAAGAGTTCCAACCCACCAAGGCCTTCAGATTTTTTAACCTTGTCAGGACCCACGAACTCAGATGGATCCAATCCTCCACCCCAAGCGTCACTGAAGCCCTCAAAAGTTTCTTCCATGGTAGCTTGATCAGTACTGAACTGTATTCCACCATAGTCTCCTTCGAATCCCTCCACACCAATATGTGTTGATTGGGTGGCTTCCGCTGGTGGCAATGTTGGCACCTCAAGACCTGCCAACACCATAGTCAAATCCGTAGCAGAAGGGTCCTTATTCTTCTTGAACCCACTCACAAGCTCTTCAGGCTTGTTAATCATGTCACTTGCCGCAAACGGATCCTGCTCTGTGGCGGGCTCCTCAGTCTTCTGCTGCTGCTGATCCTGTTGCTCATTCACACTCTGAGTGGTGACAGGCGCAAGACTTGTTGCTACTTCATCCCCAGCTTCAAGAGTCTCCGCAGGTAACTCAAACCGCGCACTTGAAAATGCCTCCACATTGGCTTGATGCTCAATCGAGTGAACCTCCATGGTGTTCCAACTATCAGCCCCACGAATCTTATTTTCCGTATCGAGAGCCGAATGAACCATTTTCGCGAGACCATCTCCGTGCATCGAAGCCAGCATTGCCGCGAGCCGGATACTGCTGACACCCCTTAGAACAATATCCAACGCCATGTAAATCTCAGCGTATTTCCGGCTAAGCTTCTCCGGCGTGACATCAACGCCACGACAGGCCGCGACAATGACGCTGACGGCTTGGTTTACAATATTGATACACTCAAAGACATTAATAGAGTTATCTTGATCGGCGGTGGTGATGCCGAGGACATAGATGCCATTGACGAGGCGATAGACAACTCGGTAGCGGCTCTCTACACCGACGATAACCTGGCCATTAGAGGCGGCCAAAGGATCATCACCAAGGGAGGCAATAGAGTCGGCGAGCGAGGAATCATCGCCAAGGGCGGTCGAGGCATGGTGTGTCTGGTGCTTGGTGGCAGCGAAGGCTAATCGCGTCTGCCGGAAGGCGGATAGGGCTACTAACGCTCGCGGGGGAGGGAACCATTCGCGAGTTTGAAGAAGGATATCAGATCCATTAGCAGGTTGCAGAGCAAGGGCTAAACAGGACATGATGGAACGATGGATCCAGATCCGATTGCAGAAGAGAAGATCAAAATAATAATCTCTGGTTCTAGGGTTTTGGGGTCTAATTTATGAACAGAAATAAAATTGAGGACATACTTTGATGGTCTTCCAATTGCGGTCTCTTCAGGCTTGTTGAATCTTGTGTTCGCCGGCGAGAGAGAAGGGGAGATCGCAGTTGGTCCCGAGCTCGGCCAGGACTCGGTAATTGAAACTCAGAGTCCGGAGCGAGCGGGTGAAACTGAAACAACGGGTTTCAATTTGGGCTTCTGAACTCATCGTTCAAACGGAGCCCAGAACTATGCGTCATTTTGAGCTGGGCTACATATCTACATAATTCTGCAGCATTTATATCACTTTTTTATAAATTTAAAAATAAGTAAAAAAAATTTAATTTAACTCCGCCACATTCTTGTTTCAAGTTTTTAACCATATTTTATCTTTATATAAATCACGGCAGATCAACTCTCCGGCTAATAACTAAAATATTGTCAATCTGAATCTAATTTAACTAGTTAAGTCATTATATCTCTGTCCAAAAAATATCATAGGTTCGAATCTCCAGTATTAAAAAAATGATCATGGCATTTATATATTTCTTAATCTCAAAAGTTTGATCCTCCCCACTATATTTATTGTTCTTTTTAAAGATTATAAATGGTTTGCAAATTAAAAGTTAGTTTTAAAGATTATAAATCAAAAAAATGAAACAAACCCTTCGTTGTACTTCAAAATTATTAAATACAAAATAAAAGAGTGTGATCAATTAACTTAAAGCATTAATTAAAAAATGTTACTTTTGATTCTAGTACTTTCATAACCTGTAACAATTTAATCACTCCATTTTTAAATTGATAATTTAGTACATAGAGCTTTAAAAATCATCTGACACGGTTATATTTAAAGAGACCGTTTTAATATGAAATTGTAAATCTTCGATTCCTCAAATAATCCCTTGATGGACCCAATACAGACGCAATGCTACTAGAGATTCTTCTGCAGCTTATGTCTTAGAGACTACAGATGCATACACAGTGTGACGCTACGAAATATCTAATAGTTACATCCTAATTCTTGTTGCCTGTTTACTTCTTGATAGCAACAAAAATATAATTGGTCTGCTTCAATCCTCTGGAAACACCTTCATTTCTCCAGAGCTTTGAGATTTCAATCTGTGTTGTAACTGAACTGCTGCACATAAAAGGAAAACCAAGTTCAGGATGTCTCCAACTCAGAAACTTTAAGAGTGGACCAGAAGCATATTAAGAACCGATATTTAACATCACCATGGGAAGGTTATCAGACAGTAACAACAACCACGCAGTTTCTTTCTGAAAGAAAACATGAGCATGCATGAAAAAGGCTTCCGCATCACGTTCAATTCTCGCTAGCAGCATTTCTTTCTAGTTTTGTATACTCTTTCTGTTTGCATAACATTTATGATCTGAAGGTCATAGGTTTAGGCATCAAACGTTGTAAAGTCAAGTAGCTGGCATCCTCTCTAGTTAGAAGAGATGTGCTCAAGTTGTAGTAAACATTAAGAAATGGAGTTACTGTGAAGTCACCTGTCGGAATTTCCCTCCCCGAAGAAGGAAGAGAAAAATAACTCAATAGATCTTCTGGTAATAAGTTCTCACACTCTAGCCAACTAAACTAATGGAATTACTAGCCCAACCTCCCAAACAAACAATAGAAATAGGACAAGATAAAGGCCTGGTTTAGGACGGTCCCATGTCATTAGTCCAGCAGGTAGTGTACTTTCAAAGTGGTATTAAAAGGTATTGGCATTGCTTTTTAACAAATTTAGAGGATTAGAAGTCTCAGATCAAATATTTCTGATTCAAACTTTCCTGCTTGGGGAAAATGAGAAAAGGAAGATAATAGTTAAAACTTACAGATTTCCAGAAAGGACAGAATATTATTAGTCTTGCAAGACAAGAGACATTGATTTCTGATTGGAAGCAACAAGAAAAAGTTGACGGGAAAGCTTTCTGAAAAAAATTCATTCTTACGACATTTTGCTAGCAAATACCACTAACATTTTTTAGTGGTGGACCCTAAAATCCTTCCCAATGAGATTAAAATAAAACCGTATCTTTTTTTCCCCTTCTGATCCTATGATCGAAGTTCAAATTTGTAATAGACTAATAGTTATTCACTTGGTAATTAATCATCCCAAGAATTGACGGCCCCATTAAAACTTCTAGGCAAATCCTCTAGTGGTGGCAATGCAATGTCCTATACCAACTCAGAGTTTTTGTGTCCGTTTGAAATTCAAATAATGAGACAAATATTTAAACAGAATGAGGTACCTGCTAAATTGGAGATGTATCATACAGGACTGTCAAGTTGAATAAAGTACAAAAGGCACTGCACAAGGAAAGAAAAGGCAAATAAGAAAAAGATACCATAATAGAGAACAAAGATTTGCTCAAGGTCATCTTAATTTTTCATATTATGTTATTCAGATGAGTATATAAAATTTGATTGGCTCTGTCTATAGAGTTTAAAAGGTAAATAGGAGACCCATAAAACTTTCAACTCACCTGAAACAGAAAAGAAGAAAAAAATTATATAAAAATTTGATTGGCTCTGTCACCCACTTAGGCAAGTCCAAGGTGAGTTCATTTGAATTTTCCTTAAGAGTGTCTTACTAGTTGGAGATGAAGTCAAATGGCTAGAAAAATTGCAAGGCTAACTAACCCCTGATGGAACTGTCCTCTAATCTTTCAAGTAATTCCTTAAAACTTTCTCAAACTGCATAAAGTTAAGATTGAAAGTTCGACATAAACCATCCACAATGAACTCTACTGATTCCCAAATATAAGTGAATTATCCTACAGGAACTGAATAGAAATGTTCTACCATGATATCAAAATTTATTGCACTACAAATGGTCTGAAATTCGTTTGGGTTACATTAACAGGATCTATATGAAATCCTGAAACATTTGATGTAGGGGAATTTGACTACCACATCTGAACCAAGGAAAAAAGTAATCTATTAAGGCATCATGATTTTCTGAGTACAACGAGAGAACTCCACACATCCTGATCCCTCGCAAAGTTTATCTCACAGAAATTATGCAAGTTAAAAGTCTATATGCATATTAATAGTATCCTTTCATCATCCTCATTATGTCAGTTTGACTCCTTGACTTGCAAAATGCAGGCTTTAGCTTATCAGGAACTTACCCAAAAAGAAAATACTTAACATCAGAGCAAGTGTAAGTTGAACTGAGCAACCACGCGGCATGTTCCTCGAACTCTGCAATTGTCTGCGAACCAAAAACCTAGCAAAGAGCTAGCAAAACCAAAACATGAAATATCTATTAGAAAATTTCCAATCACAGTCACATTCAAACAAAATGCACGGGTGGTATTCTCAACTAAACTTGAAGAACAAAGGGAGTGTTTACTTTTCATGCTTGTTGAAAGTTCAATATTGCTTTTCCAAAAACAAGAAAACCCAACCTGATTGCGTACATGACCAGCAACCTTTGCTGGAAGAAACTCCCGGCCTAATTGCCTCCAAAGGATGGTTCTGGATCCTTTTTCTTTAGGTGTGGCCTCAACAGTTGGCATTGGGTTTCTCTGTTCATCCTCATCAGGAATAACAATGGTCAAAGTATTAAAGTTTGGTGAACTCCACACTCTCCTAGCATTGATCGTCCTATCTGTATGGTTTACAACATCATCCCTTGCAAGTGAAATTGCATTATCCTCAAGTTCCACGACAAACTGTGCATTTGGAATTTCTTCAACTTTACTGGCAGTGTCTAGGCTGCTTTGGTTACTGCTTGCTTCTTGCCTTTCACTATGAGTCTCATGAATAGATTTTTCAAAAGAAGGCACAGGTTCCAAATTTTCATTTTTTTGACCTCGATTAGTAGGGGTTGTCCCAGACAGAAATGCAGCTAAATCATCACATTCTTCCTCATCAAGATTTACCCATTTAAGTGGTTGCTTGCCCTCCTCAACAAAATATTCACGTAATGATGCCTCAACAGAGAATATCTGGTTTTCAATGGCATCAATGAATTGTCTATGTCTTTGCAGCTTAGTATCATCACCATGATGTCCATAGCTCAACCGCACGGCCTTCTCAAACTCTTCCAACTAAACTTGCACCCACAGTTGACATGTATAAGTATCAACGCAAAGGGAGTCCAAAGACAATGTAATTGAAGGATAAAACCAGAGTTTGTGTCATTTAATAGGAGTGTCATACTCATACGTAATATAGAAATTAAGAAACAAAAAATGCTGAATATGAGAGCAGATAAACCTAAGAAAAATAATTATGTGTCATAGTTGTCAACAAACAAGGTTGGAATGTCTGAAACACTCTACATTAACAACAAGACTACTTTGGATTAAAAATGAAGTAATCGAGTAGAGAATATTAATCACCTGCCATTTGGCTGTTCCCAAAGCAGTTCGTAACTCCCTGGTGAATTCATCCAGATTATCTATCATTACCCTTGCTCTTCTCTCTCTTAACCATGTCCTATATGTGGATTCCAATCTGACGTTTAGGTAGAAGAAACGTGAGAGATTCAAAACCATCAGATTTAGATCTTATTGAAAATAATATGTACTCAACGTTATTATGATATAATATATCTAACAAAGCGATATACGGAGAAAAGGACAACCAGTATTAGACTCAACTTATTGACAAGAGAGTTAAAGGGGACGTGGCAAAATAAAATATAAAATCAAAAGCACAAATAGAGATGAAGTTATTGCTACTAATTAGAGGCCCAAAAAAACTGCAACCAGAAATGAGGATTACAAAAAAGAACCCCTTGTAATCAAAAGTAAAGCATAGTTCACGGATATTAAAAAAAATAATAAAAAAAAAAGAAAGGCATAGTTAAATTGAATTAAGAGCCCAAAAGAAGCGCTCAAATGTACAAAATCCAAAATATTATCACGCTACTTTACCGAGCCCTACATGTGTTCTCCTATCCCTTTCCAGCCCAACAAACCACGGTATGGCAAAGAAGTTGATCTGCTAAGGAACATGGCCTTTCCCTCGAAAATGAGGAACCGGGACAGGTTCCTCTGTCATTTCCCAGACACCTCAATCGCTGAACTACTGACAAACTCAAACTCTACCATTAAAGATTCTAACTCTCAATGAAAAGGGCAAACCACAAAACAAGATTCAGATTCTCTACCCGGCACCTGTAAAACGCACCAATTCTAGCCTAAAACACAAGAGGCTCTTAGCAAAACTTCAATGGTGTTAATCCTTTCCAGAGACGCTAGCCAAGCAAAAAATGTGATCGCTTATTCCTTTGTAGAAATGCACATAATTTCATCTGCTAACGACATCAAATCAAATATGACAGTACCAAGATGTAACACATTATGGGAAACAGCTCGAACCAGTCTGCAAAGTATCCAATTGCTTAACCATCCTCCCATCCAATGTTTTGAGCTGATGAAATATCATATTCAAATTATCAAATTTTCCAAAATCATTTAAACTATTTTACGTCTTTCCCCTTTCCACTTCCCGTATTCTCTCTCAACCTCCTAATGAACAACGACACCAAGGTATAACCATAAATCAATAAAATCAACACGAAAACAATTCACAGAAAAAGAAAAATACACAAGTACGAGGACACGTTTAGAAGAATTATAAGAATAAAAGCCAGGAAACCAAAGCAAGTTATGGGAACGCGTAGTTTAAAAGTCAAGACCATTAATAAATCTGCGACATCGTCGAAAGGGAAACCCAATTTCCGGAATCAATTATCATATCCACGTGATAGAAGCAAAGCAACAAAATGATAATTCAATTTCACGCACTCTAGAGCAAATCGCAGAAAGGAAAATTAAATAGATTAAAAAACAGACGAAATAGTTCGTGCTCAAAACACCAAAACCCGCGATTCAATACGGAACTTACATGTCGGCTGATTCTTGCACCTCCTCGGCGGCGGAAAAGAAAGCATCCTTCTGCCACAAATCAAAACTCCGTGCAACCAACATCTCAAAGCGCTGTACCAATCACTCAAAAATAGACGACGATCCAATAGCACGACAAGATCGTAGCTCTTTTGAAATTTCCAGTGGATGCAATAATCGCAGTGCTCGAACGGATTAAGATAGAAAAGAAAAGAAGAGGCAGAATCGTGTTCTTCACTCTCTTTCTCTCTCCTCTGCTAGCAGAGAATTGAGAGAGAGAGAGAGAGAGAGAGAGACGTAAAAGCGATTCCCTTCCCCTTTCACCTTCCCTTCCCCTTTCCTTCCACCATATTTGCAGAAGTTGCAAGTTTACATCCGCTGCATTCTGTCACACCGCTATTCCATGACGTGGAAGCTTCCAATTGGTCAAAGATTTACTGATCTTCTGGTGACCGTTCGATCGACTCGGCACGATAAGTCCAACCCATCTGTAAAAAAAAAAGGCCATCAAAAATGGCGTCGGTTGGCGGATATGAAAGACGACAAGAAAGAGTATGCTGCCCTATCCGTTCGGGCAGTTTCCGGTCATCTCTATCTCATTGACCGACGCATCTAAAATAAGCTGGGCCCACTAACCATCTATATTATATTATTATTAATTATCATTATCACTGTCGGATTAATAAAATAGTGAGATTTTCTTTTATTGTGTGACTAATATATGTCGTGGGTTTGGTAATGAGTCAGCCACATAATTATTTATTTATTTAATTTCCCTGCAATTTGGTCGGAAGAAAAAAGTTCGATAAAGAGGAAGCAAGCACTGAAGAATTAAAATTTTAAAAAGGAGAATGACAAGAGAAGCCAGGACTGACTCATAAAATATTTAAATCATGAATATCATTAATATATATTATATGGAGTTGAAAATAATATTTGTGAGAAAAGGCAGAGGTTACAATTTTGTTTTGTTTTGTTCTGTTTTGTTTTTTATTTTCTTTTATGTTCTCTCAACGTCAATCTCTTTTTCTCCAAGCATCTCATGCCTTCTAAATTCATTCTCATCGCTTTCATTTTATTAAAAATACTCATTGCTTTTCTCTGCATATTTCTATATATTTACACGTACTATCCATGGATTAATAAAATTATTGTGGTAACATATAAATCCAAACTTTGACGAGTAACGATGCAATGAATACTTGCACTATCAATATCAATAAATATGTACACGTGTATAGTCTTAAGTCCAACACACTCTCGCATCTAAGTCATCGAAGTACCTAGTTGAAAATAACAAATAGTCAGATTTTATATCACGCACCTCATACCTCTCCTCTTATTTATAGAGGGAATCTCCTAAAGTTAGTTCTGGTGGTCGACTCAATTGGACTTTGGGATGGTGATCCATCCCAAAGTCTTAATCCATGTTGCTTCCTTGGTCTTCCCTTAAGTGTGCTTGGCATTGTAATTTCACCCCAACAAAGATATTTTTTTGTGTGATTATAATCTCAAATTTTTATTCTAAAATAATTTTGAATCATAGAGATGTTTTTTTCCCTTTGTTGTTGGTTTAATTAATTTATCATTTTGGTCCAATAGTTTAATTTCGATTCATGATTATGTCAATTATTTTTATTGTATATATAAAAAAATATGAAAATTTTAATTCAAATTAAAGATTCATAGATTGAGCAAAACATGAGCATAATTCATTAGTTAATGTATCTTACTCTTTCGTTGGAGATCGGACGTTGAACCCTCCATCCTCGTTTATTGTACTAACAAAAGTTATTGAAATAAATTTATTGTTTTTTTATTTAACTTTTATATTATTATGTACTATCACGCGCTTCCCAGCCCAAGCCCAGTTTTTTGGGGATCCAAGTTCCCCAAATTAAGAGTTGGGCCTGATTGGGCTGACTCCAAAATGGCAATGCATGGAAATTAGCCGGAAATTTTAATATTGTAGGCTTGTGGCAAAATATTAGTAGATACGAATTTTATTTTTTAAAAAAATTATAAATATAATATTTTTAAAAATATAAATCTCTAAACAACTTTCTTCTTTTTGAGAAATCCCTAAACAAATATTAATTTTAATGTGATTTTTTTTGCTGTGAATTGGTGTGATGTGGTTTAAATAAATCACAATTGATCATTGATTTAGAAAGTAGTGAAATAAAACGGTGAAGAGATAATTATGTAAACATTATAATGGTTCCACATTAGGGAAAAAAATAAAAGGAAATGCAAATTCTGGAACATGCTTTTACCAGGTTGCCCTTTTTTTTTTTTTTTCAGTTAAACTTGCTTTCTTCTGTCATGTCCAATTCCAATATTCACTTTTTAAAAGTTTATAATATAAAGTTATAAACAAACTTCCACTTGGGTTTTTCTTTGGACAAGCATAGTATATGTCCAAATTATATGTTCCCCATCTCTCAAATAAGGATTATTTATCTTTTACTTTTATCCACAAAAGTTGAGATTCTAAAAATGGGCACTGTGCAGTGCAGTCATTTTTGGGGAATAAAATAGATAATCTAAACCGAAAATGTCCAAAATACATAACTTTATTTTAAAACCCAAATGCCACTATGCAACAAGCACATACCATTTTCAACTTTATCCTTAATTAACTAATGCAATTGGTGTTGGGATTATCCTCCAATTATTTAACATCTTTTCTCTGCTTATTGGTGTCCAAATAAATGGGTGGATTAAGGCATTAAGCTATGTGTGGTTTGGCATCAAGAATCGACCTAAACAAACTCTAATATTTTTACCTCTCTAAATTTTAGGATAGATTAAAAATTTTGTTTCTTTAATTCTTTCCGGTTGTGCTTTGATAAGTCGCTTAATTTTAAATTGTGTATAATAGTTATCTAAATATTTAAATTTTATGTCTAATACGTTACTAAAATTTAAAAGTATGCAATAGTTAAACATTAAATTTTGTGTCTAATATGTCCACAACCTATTTGACCTTTCCCTAAAGTTTTGTTGACCTATTAACAAAAATTGAAAGCTCAATGTTCTATGACACAAAAAGTAAAAAAGAAAAAAAAAAACTTCATTTTATGTCTAATAAATTTAACATTTAAAAAATGTCAAATAGGGTGAGTGACTTATTGGAAACATAATTAGAGTTTATTATACTGTTATAAAATTTATGGATTTATTAGATGTAAAACTAAAATTTGAAAATTTTTTAGAGTTCATAAATTTATTTGAATTAATCCAAAAGTTTAGAGAATATAATTGTAATATAAAAATAAAATTTTTAAATATTCAATTTTGGCCTTACAAAGGGATGTCAAGATTCATTTATTTTGTTTGCCTAACAAACATATTTCTAAGTTGAAAAACAAATCATGTGATATCATCCACTATTGACAATTAAGTTCAGTCTCTCACTTTATTAAAAGGTGTCCAACATGAAAATAAATAAGGTTTAGAACTTTAAAGGTCAAAGTAGAAAATGAATAAATATTATAAAACTGTTTTATAAAATAAATGACGAAAAAGTAAACAATAAAATAAAAATGGCTTATTTCACGCATAAAGATAGATTTAAAATATTATTTTGATCTATGTAGTTTCACGACGTTCCTTTAGCTCATGTATTTTAAACCTCTATTTATTTTAATTTTTATACTTTTAGACATTGATTTTTGGTCTTAGTGTTTTAAAAAGTAACCAATGTAGTCTATTTGTAAAAGTTTAGGGTAAAATATATTTTTAGTTCTTGAAATAAGTGTCTATTTGGTCCCTAAAATTTCAAAATGAACATGTTTGGTTTTTGAGGTTTAAAATAGGTGTTAATTTGGTCCCTGAAATTTTAAAATAAACATTTTTTGTTCTTGAAATTTGAGAAATAGTTTTAAATGGTCTTTTTTTTGTTTTGACGGTTAATATTGTTTATTGTAGTTATTGATGTGTGAAATTATATTAATTAAATAATATATGTGCAAGTGATTGGTAATTTCTCTCTCCTCTCCTTATCTCTTCCTCTCTCCTTCACCTACCATTTTCGAGAGCGCTTTGCTACCGCGGTAGTCATTCATATCGGACATATATCAATTTTTCTTAAAATCAATTTTTTAATTTGTCAAAGATAATTAACGAGGAGGAAGTGATTTTAACGGTAACAAAAGTGATTTTAACACACCCTGATGATTTTGAAAAATAAATTTTATTAAAAAAAAATTTTTCTTTTAAATCATTCATTCTAGGGTGGCTCTCAAACACCCTTAATCTTACTCGAATAGCTCTAAATCTCTTTGTTACCAGTTGGGACTGTGGACGTGGTATTGGAATATAAACAACTTTAGTCAAAGAATTGATTAATTCACTGGAACCATTGAACAAGATACAGCACCCACATATCGAAATCCGATTATTCAGTTCATAATGTTTGGCCCCGAAAATGTGTGGGGCTACGCCAAAACGCAAGTAAGAAGGATGAAGAAGCAAGTAATTTGGGATGGCGATGTTGGTGTGGGAGTGGGGTTAGCAAGAGAGAATGGGGTTGAATTTGGAGTTGAACACGAAGTTGCTCATAATTCCATCGAATGGCTTGGGATGTTCCGAAAAAGCAATGCCCTTAATGGTGGGTCTTTCTCACGCGATGGAACTCGCTCAATCACTCACTACAACTCAGTGCTCATAAAGTGTTTGTTTTAATGCCTGAACCAGAAAATAAGCCTCTTTCTCTTCTGCTAATTTGCTAGTTCTAAAGCGACGTGGCTCCAAGGAAATACTGAATTCTGATGATCCTTTCTCGGCCAGACAATGTTTAAGCTTGAATTATTCTGAATTCTGATCATGAGTTTGCATTTTCTTTTTTCTTTTGTACGGAGTTCTGAATTTTTGAGATATGCGGCTCCTGCGGAAAAGAGAGCAATGGCTTTCACATTCCTACTCTTAGACTCGTCCCGCCCCTTTTCTTTTTCTTCGGTTTAATCATATTTGTTTTTGTCTTTTGCTACCCAGCAGATTTCCTAAGATCTCTCTCTATCCAAATCCTGTTTCCCAATCTTACTTATTTGGTTACCTTCTTTCTACAACTGTGTTCCACCTGTAGTACAACTTACGTCGATGACACAAATTAAAGATAAAAGCAAAGTTCTAATCATATAGACATAATTGAAGAAGTTCTGTAAAAATTATAGATTGAATACACTCATCAGTCAATCTTAGCGCGTAGGTTAATGGGTGAAATATTTAATTACTTTTCTTGAGATTGAATGTTCCATGTCCTACCTCCCAAGAGTTAGGAGGGCTGAGAGGCATACGGCTTATAGTGAGCTATCGAGAAGGTAACCTCTAGACCTTGCAATCGGGCATCGTGGTGCTACAACTCCAACCCCGCCTAGAATTCGAGTCCTTTTCTATTTAGCTTTAAAAAAAAGAAAATCAAATAGGTACAACTTATCAATGGATCTATATTTTTTTTTTCAATACTAACCATTACTACCTTTCTTTTTTTAGTACAACAATTTAGAGGTAGGGATGGTCGAACCTCTAACTTCAAGAGAAATATTACATGTCAATTACCGTTGAATTATGTTCATGTTGACAACTTTATTATACCTTTTTGGATGATCAATGTTTTATTTATAGATATATTCCTCTTCAAACTCCTTAATAACTTCCGGAAGATTTTAAATTTATTTATTTATCTTTATTTCAACAAAATATGGCTCTCATGTTTTAATAAATATATATGTCTTAATTAATTATGATACGTTGATTATCTTATATGGAGAACATTGACAATTCACAAAGGTTTTTTTAACTATATATATTTAATTTGTTACTAAAATATTCAAATATTTTTTTAATTAAAGAATTAAACCGTATGGAAGCTGAATGGTCCCGAACCTATATATATTATTTTTGGGAACAGTACTACAAGCTATGATAAATATATAATAATATGTACAAAGATGCTCCAACCCTCTAGACCCTACTTACAGATACAGGGAGCTACATAGTACATGATATGAGTATAAGATATAAATAAGACTAAAATAGTAACTATACCTAGAAACAATTTAGTCTAGTCCTTTCAATTAAAAACAAGACCTTCCCATAAAATTATTTTCACAACAATTCGTTGTCTTAACGTTGAGCAACATTTTAATTTGCTTGGGTTGATGTTGATGCGGGATTCTACACAAGGTGTGTCGGCACTTGAGACGAGGTGGACTCTAAATCTATTGATCTGCCGATCTGCAATAGAACCTTGCACTGCTGTGATGTTTGATCACGTACTAAATTTGTATCGGTCCGAGTTTACTAGAGTGCAAAGAGATTGCATACCTTTGGAATGGTGGAATAACTTCGCATTTTACAAGGGGAGACTTGATAAATGACGCTCCATGACTGTGACGTCCGTATCTATCATTCAGTAGATCTTCTATCGATTGTTAGTGGATTTGATGTCAATAGAATATAAGTCACATTTTGCAGACTGTCACATATCTTCTATCAGTAGAATCTTCCTCTTACATCGACGATGAGTTGAGTTTCGTTTTAGGCACGCTCGTGGCTTATTCCACTTCGTCCAAAGTGAGAGGGTCACATGTATTTGTATCCCTTTAATTTTGCCTCTAACAATTTTTTAAGAAAGTTATCTAAAAATATATATATTATTATTAAAAGAGCAAACAAAATTTGTAAGGTAAAGGAGCAAAATTATAGTTGAGTCAAGTAATGGAAAAAAAAAAAAAAGAAGAAGAAACGTAATGTATCCCTTCAAAAGTGAGGGCGTAGAAATTGAGGACGAAAACTACTTTCTTTTGGTTTTAGGAAAAATGTACAAGATTTTGAAAAGTAAATTTATTGTTGTTGAGCATTGCAAAGCAATATTAATAGGAAAATGGAAATGGGGAAATATGGCTTTTGGGAAATATAAATTCACATGCTTTATAAAAAATAAATTCACATGGAAAAGACATAAAAAGGTAGAGATGAGTCAGGTGTCAGTTGTCACCACGTAGGCCAAAGATCTACTCAACTCAACCCATGAAATCTTTCCTCTTCTCATAACTCAAACGTCAAACTCAACACCTAAGAAATTTGTTTTAATTATTAATAAAATATTTTCAACTTTTTCTCATTATAACTCATGTCTTCTCATAAGTGCTCCTTTTTCGGCATCTAAATCCTCTTTTTCCTTCCACAAAATCTTCCCCTTTTTACCATTTTGCCCCTCCCTCACCTATCTTATCCATTCGCTTCATTTTTTTTTGACCTTTTTACTTTTTCTTTTTCCAGAAATTTCTTCGTCATAATGTAAACCCTTTGAATTGCTTGCTTTTGTTTTCAATGATATTTTTTTTAATAAAAACAATATCAACACATGAGTAAGAATCCATCTCACAATATCTTGAGTTTTGACAATTTATTAAATTTGATTCATAATTTTTAAAATATTTATTTTAATCCATAAATTTTTTAAAATAAAAATTTTAATTCTTTTTGTTACGGGATTTCAAACACCCAAATTAACATGATGATATTAGAAAAAAAAAATTATTTCAATGTTCAAATATAAAAAAAAAAGAAAAAAAAATATGAGAAAAGAACCGGTTACAATTTGACACGAACACAAAAGGAGGTGGAAAATAACTCTAACAATGCTCAAAATGTGAAAAGTTCACTAAAAGGAACCATAATGAAAGACACTTTTGGAAACCATATTCCAATATTAATTAGAGTAATTAGCAACCCCATTAGCCACATCCATCCACCACCTAAGTCCAATTCATTATAAAATTTTAAAAAGAATTAAAAGATTGACGCAATAATCCCGATAGATTGAAATAGATATCTCATATCAATTATTTATCTCAATCATTATAAATTCAAATGTCTTTTAAATCACTGATTCAAATTATAGTAACCTAACTCATCTCTAATTTGTAACATGGATTATGTTTATATATATATATATATATATATATATATATATATCAACATATATTCTCAATCATATGGGCACAAATTACAAAAGAGTATTAATTATTGAGACGCCCACTTCACACTTAATGCATTGGGATCCATGTGTTAAATCACAAACTTCCAATGCCTTTTCAATTTGGGGTCCTTAGTGGCAAATTACACAAACCATATTATATCCCTAAAATTAGTCTTTTCAAAATAACAAAACTGGCTAGAAACCAACTCATTGGCCAATATGCATATATCAAAATTGCATTATATATTCACCAATTAAAATATGTGATTCCAAATATTCCCATACAAAACGATGACGTAATATAAATTTCATTATTTTAACAATAATGATGATAGATTTTTTGACATGTTAAGAAGGATTGGATCCAAAATGATTTCACAGATCTTCATTTTCCTCACCACAGTAAAAATTTTTCCTTTTGTAACCTTTTTTTCACTTCAGTCACTGAACCATGACCATGAGAGGAAAAAAGAAGAGGGGAAATAAAAATGAATTTTACCATTTTTACTACCCAAWGAAATTGTGGCTTTCTTTTTCATCGTCTTCTTTGCTGCAATCCTCCATGAATTCAGACCCTTCTTTTGGACTATCCAGAGCTCTCTTCTCCTGTTCTTCAGCTTCTTCTTCTTCTCCCATCTCCTTCATTAATCGTCCATTTTTCTCGTTTTTCTCTGCTCTTGATTTCAATGTCTCCAGTAACTCCGCCATGGCTCTGTTCTTGTGGCGGCGATTCTTGATCAGAAGCTCGCTCACGTCGGCCGGCGTCATCTTCGCCTTCTCAATTACTTGTTTAATTTCGTCCAAAATTTCGCAATCGACTTCGTCTTCTTCGGAATTTAAGTAATTCCTCAGAAGAATCTTCAATGCCGGAAAAGAACAGTAACTCATGAAAATGTGCATATCCATTCTCCCACTCCGAAGCAATGCCGGGTCCAGCTTCTCAATGTGGTTCGTCGTGAACACGAAAATCCTCTCGCTGCCGCAGCACGACCACAGCCCATCGGTGAAATTCAGTAGCCCGGACAGCGTAATCGAGCCACCGCCCCCGCCGCCGTCGTCGCCGGAAACAGAGCCGTAGCCACCGCCCCCGCAGCGCAAATCCCCCAAATCGCAGTAGTTCCTGGCGGAATTCTTCTTCTTCTTCCGATCGGAGAGATTGATGGAGCAATCAATGTCCTCGATCACAATAATCGATTTGGAGGTGGTCTTCATAAGGAGCTTCCGAAGCTCGGAATTGTTATGAACTTCAGTGAGCTCGAGATCGTAAATGTCGTAGCCAAGGAAATTGGCCATGGCCGCGATCATACTGGATTTGCCAGTGCCAGGGGGGCCATACAGGAGATAGCCCCTTTTCCAGGCCCGGCCTGTCTGCTGGTAAAAACTTTGGCCGTTAGCGAAATCTTGAAGATCCTCCATTATCTGCTGCTTCTTCTGTGGGTCCATGGCCAATGTGTGAAATGTGCTGGGGTGTTTAAATGGCACCGACTCCCACGGATGGCCTCTGGAATCCAACGATCCGCCGCGCGAGTTGGTGTACAGGAGCCGCTCCTGATTCCTCCGCCGGATTTCCTCTGCTCGCTCCATGACGAAATCGAGATACGAATCGAGAATCAGGGGCTTGTCTTTCTTC